CGCAATCTACAGGTGATGCGTCGCACACAGAAGAGTTAGCGACTGTTCGAGAAGATCTCATCAAATGGATTGCCGAAGAGGCCCTTGGGGGCGATGAAGATGCAGCACATTGGCTTGTTCTCGAACTTTCCGCAAAAGTGTCAGTTTTGCCTTATCTCTCAAACGAGTTCGCCTCATACCAGATACAGCTACACTCGGACCACACCCCTCCTACCTCCGTCCCTCACTTTATCACGCTTTCCTTCACCCACACCGTCATCACCCGCACTACCTACCCTTCACCATGTACTTTCTGACTTGCTACCGCAGTATCTTACGGTGCCCCTCTCCCTGGATCTTCTTAACAAGGAAAATTTCAGTCCTGAAAGCAAGGATGAAGATTTGCACTCGGGCTATTTGCAGGTCCCTCAAGGGACCGCCTTACTGCTAACAGAGAATGGTGTGCGAGAGGGCAAGCTTGTAGAAAAAGGTATCAAGTCCAACGGTACCTTCTGGCTCTGGCATCTTATGTTAATATGGCTTTGCAGGCATCATGAACATTAGGGCTGTCCAGGAAGTCATGGATGCTCAAACGCTCGAGTACTCATTCCCATTCAGTAAATTTTCATTTTCAACAGACATAGTAACGATTGTGTTATGTGATGGTCGGAAAAGTGCCTTCTTCCAGGTAATACAGATATCGACCTTCATTATAACTCCAAGACACTTACTCGCACCTTCTTCCATGACAGACGGGATTCACTGTACCTTTGGAAACAAAACCCTCGCTCAAGGACAATCTGTATAAACCGAGAGACCAGATAAAGATACCCGATACCGTGAAGCTGGCGGCATACCGTTCTTTCCTGGCAGCCGCAAAACGTTGTTTTGGGACTGTTCAAGTTGCAGAGGAGACGTCGCGGGTGTGTGCGATATCGGATACCGTGTCTTACATGGCTGACTTTCAAGCAGCACATTCAAGAAGACTTTGTGCGTCAACGCCAAGAAGACTCATCTATAACAGCAGACGATCTTATTCACTTGATGAAGGTGGCAAGGTGCGGAGTCTCTCACTGATATCTATTTGATTGTCATGTCCATGTTTGAGACAGATTACTAGCGGCGTCTATGCTTGAGCGGGAAGTCACCGTTGACATATGGGAAAGGTCGAAGAGGCTTGATGCTAGTCGAAGGAAGAGATCGCCATGATTCAACTTCCTTTCTTCGATTCTATTTGGTCACTGAATTAGCCTTGCACATCATTCGTAAGACCCCAGCAATACTAGCGGTTCCCGCAAACATCCGGACATAAGTGGCTGCGGAGCATCCTATCCGACTTGTTCGGTACAAGTGGGAATTATTGACAATGCCTGCGCACAAGGGCAACCTATTCGGAAGAAAAGAATTTCTCGTTCTAGTGCATCTTGCGGATCCATGCCAAGTCATGCTATCACACTTCAACTTGACACCTTACCACGAGAATGACAGGGAGAAACCCGATCATCAAAACAAAGCCTTGGGGACTTCAACTTGCGCGAGCGCTTGAGCTTTGTGGCTACAGTACAGCATAATGCGACAAACAACACGAATTGGGTTTACAACATTTAAATCATGGCCGGCCTAGTCCGTTCTCAGCGGCATTCATCCAATCTTCTGCTAGATCATCCACTACACCACCAAGTAAGCTGTGCACAACTTGGCGGTTGCTACCACTGCCTTCGAGGTAGTACTTGATCTAGGCAGGTTGATGCGGGGAAGCTCAGACATCACTATATGAAGACATCTAAGAGCATTTACCTTTGGTTCGGTCCCACTTGTCCTGTGCAGAAAATGAACATGGCACGAGTTGCAACTACAGTCACCTTGGCTCACCTAATTGTCAAGACGATCCCAGAGTCATCTGAATCGGATGATGCTCTGAACTGCATCATATGTCCTAAGGACAACGGTAATTTGGGTTGATAAGTGGGTGCGTTCGTGCTATCATAACCGTGCCCTTCCGTTAGATCGACAACGCTCCGTATTCGCAACCCGCCAATTGAGGATGGATAGGAACGTCCTTGAGATGAGCCCTGTCAATAATGACGTTTATTTCCTGCCATTCTAATCACGCGGAATGATACCATATCACCAGAAGAGCGAATCTTCCTAAAGATATTCTCGATGACAAGAGGGTCAGTACAGACGAAATAGCTGTTGCTCGTCTTTGCAGAATCCATGAGATGATATCTACGGCGATGGACGAGTGTATACGGACCTCGAAATATCCATATCTTGGTTTACGATAAACTCGTGGCCACGACAATGATGAGGACGGCTCACCTTCGATATAATTCTTGTAAATGTGCGGACACTGTGGTGCCTCGTGCTCGTAAGCTTGCAGCAAGTTGTGCAAATACCATCTAGACGATCTTGGTGAGAAAGAAGTAAAACGGTTAGCAGGGTCACTTACAGTTGCGGCCACCCCATCTTTATCTCTAATTTCAGAACCAAACATGTACCCTATGGCTTCCTCGTATCCAAAAGGTACTTCGTATCCGGCCTGGACAAGATCTAAAGCAGTGTTGCCAATGAACTTGAAGCCTAGAACGGCATGAGTCGTTTCCAGCGCCTCACAGAAACCCTATTATGCAGTGCACACCTGTGAGACAATCGACAAAGCGAAACCCTTCAATTTGCGCCATGGCTTCAACCATCTTGGAGCTGACTGTTGAAGCAACCATGGCCAACTTGCCTAAAGATATGTTCAGGCTGGCTGGCAACGAATCATGCCGAACTGACCTATTGGCTTGCTGGAGGCCTTGTAGGTCTCGAATACATGATAGGCAAACAATGTTCCGAGCTGATCACCAGTAAATGTTACCCACTTTCCATCACTATAGATCGATCTCTAATGAAGTCAGCCAGTACAAAAAGCCTCATGCATACCAATTTTCAGCTGCAGAGAAGCGATCTGCGTCTGGGTCCTGTGCAAGAACATACAATGCCCCCTTAGCGTCCGCCGTAGCTATAGCTAGATCCTGAAAACAAGTTAGCCGGTGCTCCAAACACATAAATTTCAACATACGAGTGCGCCTGCAAGCTTCGTCGTCAGAGCTATAATTACAGAAAAGGGGGTAGTCATTACCCTTTTCTTCAGGGTTTGGGAACTTCGCCGTTGGAAATTCGGGATCTGGATGCTGCTGTTCCTTAACAGGTGTATAAGGCGAAAATCCGGCAATCTCGAAGGCTTTAGATGCAAATGGATCCCCAACGCCATGCATAGATGTATTTACGAACGCCACTGAAGCTCCGTCAAATCTGGTGACTCAATAGGGTCAGAATGACAAGTGGTAGCCAACAACTTACGATAACATCTTTGCGCGCAGATTGCTGAGAGAATGAAAGTACCCTTTTTTCATCTCCTCCGTACAATCAATGCACAGGTCCGATTCCATTATCCGAGAAGCATCATGCACTCTGGGCTCCAAGTGTTGCATAATGGATTGTGCAATTCCGACATCATGCGGACCGATGATCTAAAAGAAGAACACACTCAGTGATAAAGGATGGAAACACAAGTCACATGTCTTACTTGGACTGCATTTTCCCAATAAACCTAGCTAATGATAAGTGGAGCGACACGGGAGTTGATCAGGATCGAACCTTGTAGCCATTGTCTTGCTATAGGAGAAATTAAATGAGCTACACTTCAAACACATAATGTCTGCCTGACCTTCGGGTTGTGGCTTGCTAGATCGGAAATCAGCTTGAAGGCGTGCGACTCCGTAATGGAAAGTGCAACGTACCTGTGATCATGACTCCACAGGCAGCATTGAGCGCTTTTACGGAAAATGGAACCCTTCGAGTACGGTTGATCTATATCAGAAGTAACCGCAGAAGGGATGATAACATACATTGGAGTATGTACAAGTCCATTATGCAGGTAAACTTTGACATTGTTGGCGATGAAAGCAGCTGCAGTAAGCTGAGCCCATCTCTCCGAGTTGTGCCGGTGGTCATGTCCTACGACTACTCCACGGGTAGCAGCATTCTGAATGTGTTCGAGGACATAGGCGCACAATCCCTGTCGCAAGGGGTTAGTTACGTCGCATTCACGACGATTTTAACATCTTCAAGTGATCAACCCACCTGAGATGCCTGAATCACGATCAGATCATTCATGCGAGACCATCCGGCCTCCATCTTTCCCCTCAGACCTTTGTAAATGCAAAGCCTCAGAATATCAGGCTGAGCTAACAATGAACATCCACACCTGCGGTGCCGAATTCTATGCGTGTCCTATGCGCGTCTCATGCTCAGCATGTCTTTGCCCGAACCGTAATGCTAGTTGGTAACATACCTCATACGTCGTTCCAACTCGCCAACGGCGTTATTATTCCACAAATGTTCCACATCCTTTCTTGTGGATTCATTCTAGAGTAACTGTGAGCAACATCCAAAGCAACAGCCTCTAGCACACACTGGATCAAGGCGAAGCCACTCCTCAACAAGATCCTTCAAAGGTGTATTCATCACAATGATAAGATCGTACACTGGTTCAGTGGAAGTTATGATTGGTCAAATATAGATAGGAACAACTTTAAATGCTAAGCGCTACAGAGTAATCCACCGCCACTTGTGTCGTCCGACTCGCGTAACTATTAGATCATGATTGAGTAATACCATTTGTGGGACCGATAAACATATTTTCGATTCATTCACCACTCTGTAATACATACTCTGATGCTCTCAAGATTTCTAGCACTTGTAATGGTCAATCACATTTTTTACAATGCGCTGTTGTGTTGTGAGACGTGCTCGAAGTCTTGCCGACGCAAGTGACGGTTACCACTAGAACAAGATACATTATGCCAATATTTATACACACTTCCTTTTGTAATGAATGCAATTTCCCTCAAAATCATGCATATGCGGAGGTGACGGCTGATAATTGGAACAGACTACGGAAACAATGAATAATACAAAAAGACTCCTTATGTATATGGTGTACAAGTATCTGGTGCATACATAATTAATATTCATGGTGTCACTCCTGGCTGGGCACCGGTATCCATTCGCAGCTCGGTGTCCCGTGGTGACCGATAAAGGATCGTCTCAAAATCCAACGCCAGGCGGTCTACAAGCTTAGCCTTCAGTACTCTCGGAACACCCATAGATACGTCTATCGAGCCCTTTCGAGATCGCCAAGTGCCATCGCATAGCGTGGGGTTCGATTTGAAGGGCCGAAAATAGAACTTCGACATCCCAGTTGTGAAAAAACTGGAAGAATCAGGGAACCCGAAGTGAGCGTCACACCAATCAATCCTGCCAAGTAAACAGTCATGAGAGAGTGTTTGAGGAAGACCCAGAAAACTCATACGCGACATTAGAATTGATTGTCATCACGCCAGGACGCGAAGCAAAGAAGAAATATTTCCCAGCATTGGCAGTTGCTAGCATGATATCGCTTGTCACGGCCATCCAATCCTCAAGAAACATCTGGTCACGGCACCGAACAATCGATTCCCGCACAGCAATGGCGATACCTCGCATATTAGATGGCAGGGTGCCGGTGGGGATCTACGGACAGATAAATAAATATTTGCTGCGTGGAATGTGCCACAGACATTTTGGATAACATTTCCTGCAACATTGCTTGCGATATAGTGAGCTTCAACACGCCGAAACTGCAGCGTCTAGCGATCAGAAGCAATCTATAATGTTGAAAGAAAGCCTCACATTAGCAACATTCGTGACCATGCGAATGGGCCTAGGCATAGAACGGTTCAGTAGAGTGACGACATACGCTGTGAGGCAATCGTGCCACGAAAGATAGCCCTCCTCATTGCCACTGAGCATGGAGTGGAGCGCATGAAGATGATGTTCATGAAATCTCCATCTAAGGTTTCCCAGATCCTCGCAGGCCTCGGCATATTTGGCCTCGAGCTCATCGAAAGGATAAGAGACCCACAAATGAGGTAATAGTTGAAGAAAGTTTGAAGACGTAGATGGCTCCGGGGTTCGGTACTGATATTTGTCGAAAGTTGGAGGAGAAAAATCTGGCTTGATCCTTTGGTAGAACATGGACAACGTTTGCATGAACCGAAAAAGTGCCACCGCATCTCCTGCCATTTCCCACCCTACTCAAAAAATGATTCACGAGTCACGTATAAGACATACCGAGAGTGTGGTGCCAAGATACCGCAAGAAATGTCCTATCTTTGAACGCTGTTATCTTGAAACGAACCAGGGAAGCACTACCATTGACGATGATAGCATCTGGTGGTGGTTGGCTAAGCAAGGGAGAAAGGTCGTCTTGAATGACCCAGTCTCCTTGAATAAAAGAGGTAGACAACTCTTCTTTGCGATCCTCGGCCTCAACAGCCAGTCCGGAATTTGTCAGCTGGATCTGAAGTCTTTGAGTCTCGGCCGGCCATGCATGATTCTGTAACACTCACAAACCAACGACCGCCGGTTGTGCACAGTTTCCCCGCGGCATGAGGGTACATTTGCAAAGTGCTTGCCAGGGCGTCGTGGAAATGCTCGATGTCAATGGACCCATCGAATGCATGAACATTGTCCACCTAAAAAATGTTCCTCTTGTCAGAGGGACCGAGAACCCATCAGCTGAGTAAAACTCACAAAGTGTAGCCATAGGTCGTAACCTGGAAGATCAACATATTCACGACCTGCAAGTATAGTGGGTTCCTTGGGAACAACGTACTGAACGACTGGCGGAGACATTGTCGAGCCGAGTAAAAAGACAGACTATTAGTACTTGGATTGCACAATGACGTCCGGTAGTAAGCGGTCCTACATAGCCATATCTACGGCAAATGACGGTAATAGTGGGAAATATGTCAACAACATCGCGAGAGCTCCGCAAATCGGGAGATAGAAACATGCCGTTGAGCCACCGAGTAAGGGCCTGCGGATCCATCAAGTAAAGAACCGTTGATCCGTTGATCCATCGAGTAAAGATCCATTGAATATTAGTTAAGCATGCTGAAATTCGGCTTGACTTTGTGATCAATATTTGAACGTTTGAGTATTCCTGTACACACAACGACGTCGATGCGCAGTGGGCCAAATATGATACATATTGATTCCATCCCCGCTAGACTTACCTAGGCTTTCTTCTTCCCCTCCATCATCTCGGTATCCTCTCGGCAAAATCTCGCTGTTGATACAGGCAAACGGAGTCGCTTGTTTCATGCACAGCTGGTGAGACAACATGATGAGTGCTTATTGAGTGTGCCGGTGTGCCGACGAGTATGTTTTGCAGGTTCCATCGGGCTGGCTGTGTGATAGGTCGGGTATATGCATGCAGGCGAACACAGCCCCTCCTAACATAATCAATCGAAAAATGTCGGCGGTCCCAAAGTCGGATGAAACTTGCAAAGAGAATGAAAAATACGTGATTTGAATACCGAAGGGTTGCAGATTCATTGCAGGCCAATCGGCTGAGAGCATCGCGAAAAGGCATACAGTAATTGCCTTGATCGACCGTTTGCCGAGCGCCTTGCAAAGTTGCGACGCGGCGTCGGGTATCATGCACATATGGCGATGAACACGGCATGGTTTGAAGAATCTTTCGGCCGAGATGGTGATGTTATCTGATGGGACACGTTCACAGTAACTTCCCGATGGAAACCAAAGCAACAAGTAAAAGATGGTGTTCAATGGTTGTCATTCGCGAAGTGAATTGGTGATGAATCATGCAAGCGACACGATAATGGGCCCAAAATCGGCGGTGAAGACAAGCTATTTGTGTATGTGAGTGACTACAAGGAAAAATTTATTCAGTGAGAGTCAGTACATGCTCAAGAGGCGACCATAAGCAAAACTGCACTGTGCACACCAATGTTTGCTGTGATTCTTGAACATGAGCCAACTGTAACAAGGAATGTCGATCATCAACGTTGCAACATCGAAGCGGTGCAGAGCAACAAGATAACCGCACCGCAACACACAATAATGGACGAGTTATAACGTTATAGCACCATCGTGTCATTGATTGGTCGAACGTACGTGTGTACTTTGGCTTTGCAATGTATTCCTAACATAGCCAAACAAAACAAACGCCATTATCAAGATTTATGTTTGACGTGACAAGATATATATAATCTTCTACACCCCTCCCTTTTGTACTGCATGTCAACGTGCAACATATGGTCCATAGAGCTCATCCACGGATTCTCTTTTTTGGCCTAGGTTCTAGATATCCTATCTACATTAAAACTCAGATGTATAGCAAGAAACGAAAATCTTACTGGGTTTGCTTGGCTCAAATTCGTCACCACCATCAGTTGCAGACGAAGATGTGCCGCTGAAAGAAACAGTAGCAGTGTCAGAAGTCTGTCGTCGTAATGGGCGCTTCGGGCGAGGTTCCTTAGAGTTTGCTGCAGTGTGTACAGGTGCCGTGGGTGGTGGTGCAGCATTTGAGTGTACTGCAGCGCTGACAGCACTCAGTCGCGGTAATCGTATCTTCAACGTTGGAGTGGCAGACTGGGCAGACTGGGTGATTGTGACTGAGGCCTTGGGAGTAATAGGTGTATTGACTTTGTGAGGATTGGAGGTGGGCAATACCGAAGCACTACTCAAGTCAGAAGCATCAGGACCCACAGATCGGATCATGGAACAAGATGCCGGCGCCTGGGCGTCCTTCGCTGCTTCCGAAGGTCTGGGCTTCCGGCGTTGACGAGTAATTCTCGTGGACTTCCCCTGCTGCAAAATTCGGGGGCATATACACGTAAGTGGGAGACCCGAAGATATCCACAGTACTCACAGACTCTGCTACCTTCTCGGTGTTATCAGGCAGACGTAGATTGATTTCCTCCGCCTCCTGTTTTACCGCAGTTCGCGTCCTCTTGGGCCGCACCGGAGCCGACTGGTCAGGAGTTTGTACTGACGACTTGTTCTCGGCCGCAGGGAGAGTGGACTTCATAGGTGCTTTGCGCTGCAAGAACCTTCCTCAGTGACACAGATATGGATATGCAGGTAATTAGTCAACATGCCTTGTTAGTAGACGCTCTCAATACCTCCACCTGCGGGGGCAAAGGTATCGTAGGCGGTAACTCTGCTTCCGTTTGTGTACTGGAATCAACGAGATTCCTTGAACTACCGATAGGGCCATGTCTCTGTTCTGTTTGTATGGTCAGCATTCGCTGGAAATTGCACAATGCCTATAAGCCATGTTAACCCTGAAATGGTGTGATGATGGAAGCCCTCAAACGGATCTTACCTGAGCAGCATGCAACTCATCTCGAGAGATAAGAGGACCTTCTTGTAATGTGCCAATGCTTTCATCAAAATCATCCAAAGAGCTCAGGGATGTAAGCGGCGAAGACATCGCGGACACCGGTGGCCTATTCCGCATTAACGACCGCCACCTATCAATGCCACACACACACCTTTGATCAAGATACTGATCTTTACTGATCTTATTCCAGAAATCGAGCATGATCACTTTCTCCGGAACCCTATATCTTCGACCATTGATAAGGATTTCATCCAGGACTAACTTCTCTGCTATCGAAGTGCCTTGTGGGTGGACGATGTCGATGTTGCCATTATTAAACTGGCGCGGTTTTGTTATGTCTATCATGGGTGGGTTTTGCTTTGGAACGCGACGCTTGGGTTGCTGGGAGCGCAGTGAATTATGCAAGCCCAACCAAAGGACTGTGAGAACTTACCAAAGCATGATCTGCGTGGTTGGGACACATCCACTTCTTATTGAATGGAGGCATAGCCACAAGAGGCGGGTCGAGACAATCTAAATGCCAGTGAAGGCTGCAGTAATCGCAAGACACCATGCATCTCCAAACTTCGGGGGTGGCACTATGGGAGGACGAGGTTGACCTCCTGGAACGCTTTGCCGGTGGAGCAGATACATCAACAACGCTGGGAAGGGTAGACGTTCCGCAACGGAAGCAAAGCACAGGGACGCCGTTCTTGTCCTTGAGGCGGTAAGGTTCACGCTCCTCAAGTTGACCGTGACGACTATAGGCATGAGTAACGAATGGGGACATGTGGAATTTCACTCTCACTTCAGGCGAGGTGGTTTGATCTCTGAGCTATCAACGTAACACCCATTGGAACCAGTAGCAACTAGTTCATCGACGATAAGACCTTTGAGACAAAACCGGCCATGAAGAAACATACCATCCTTGAAAAAACTTCTAACATCCTCTGGAAGCTGAAATTCTTTCGGAATGTTTGTCTGTGCTTGATGAATGAGGGGCGACATGAAGGAAGGTGGTGGTTTGTTTGGCGGATGCTGTTGTGGCATGGGATGAAATCCTTGTACAAAGTCCTAGTAATAGAACAAACGCACCTTTCGAATCGTGCAGCTAGGACAAAACCACCTCTCTCCAAGTTCTGGTAGGTCCACAGGTTCCATTGGTGGGTCCAAACACCAGAGATGAAAGGCTCGTGGGCATCCATCACAGTATACCAGAGCACCCAATGACCGACAAGATGAGCAGTGATCTTCGTTCAACTAAATGACACAGTAATGAGGGGTATGGTCGTAAGTAAGGGACCAAATGCGCACCAGTCCAAGTGAAGGGTCAGGGGAGAGCGAGTACGTGGCCATTGGTTCTTCTTTGATCTTTACAGAGTGTTTTTCCGTCTCTTTTCCTTTTCCTTTGTCTTTTCTCGGTCTTCCTCTCCCATTTGATACAACTGGAGGAGGCAGTTGGGGCGGCAAGGGTTCATCGAGAGCAGGAGCAGAGGTAGCTCGAGAAATTGAAAGTTCGTCAAAGTCATGGTTTATCGGAAAAGGGTCGGAGTCTGGTAGTGGGGGTATACTGGGTTGACGAGAAGATGCTTCAGGGACGATGAGATCCGACAGAGGAATAGTACTGCTGTTCAAGTTGCGAGCAGATGCACGCTGAGCCCTTCCATTTGCGGTTCTGTTTGAGGGATAAGCGGGCAGCGACGTGGCAAATTTTGGAGGGGGACGAGGGTGGATCATTTTTACAGCACAACAGCAAAGATGATTAGTGTCGGAGCCGGGTGGAATACGATGACTTACCCTTTGTCGACCCTAGCACGTTTGCGTCGTTGCCCTTCAGCATCGGTGGCGCTGAGGGCAGTGGAAGCCATTAATCCAGAGTAAGTGGAGCCCGGATCAGATGCTGGCAGATATGACACAAAAGCTCCTGGTTTCTTTGGGTCGCGCTTGTGCGCAGCCTGCTGAACAGACAGCAGGGAAGGTGGACCTGGTAAAATTTCAGTTGAAAGAGACGGATCTGAAAGACCCTCGAGATGAGGCGGTTGCACCACCGGCACTCCAGGTAACATGTACACCGGAACATCCGCCATGGAAGTCATGGTTGAAAAGCGAAGAGAAGTTCGGGTTACAGGAGTCCGTCACTGGTTCCGCCTCTCAAAGTGGATTCGAAAGGAGCAGTTAAGGTAATGAGGGGCAACGGTCGCAGCACTCGTTGAGGGTGCTGTGGCAATAGTGGCAAGCGAGATGTGGGACGACGACATCAACATCGCACTCAACCACAATTTTTCACAAAACTACAGTACAACGTTTGTCCGTTGATACAACTACTACTCATTTTCACAACGTTCACTCATTCAGGTGTGCTTCTTTGGCTTCCTGTACCCAACATGGCTCCAGATAAAACTAAACGAGAAAATGTTTCAGGAAAACAAGACAGGGAGCCTGCTCCGATGTCCTCATAGTATCAGTACATCGTGGATACGTGATGTAAGTCGTTCTGGACGAACTCATCGATAATAACCCTGGCGCAGGAGGAAAATTAGCCCGCCTCCTCCGAAGTTCATTGCGTGGGATAAATAAGCAAACAGGAACTACCGGGAGCATAACTGCATGAAACGAAAAATGTTCCCAAAGCCGACATTCAAAAATGGTAAATGAATGCTAGAAGGAATGACGAACTGTGTATAAGAAGTAGACCTCATCTATACGATGGAGCCTTGCTGATCTTGCTGATCTTCAGCGTCAACCTTGCTGGGAATGTCGCTATGGACGGTAGCGCGCCGCTTGGCCGGTCGTCCATGCATTTTCTTATCTCTCGCAGCATATTTTCTATGCGCACGGGAGCGTCGGTGGGCTTCCCACTGAGAGCCATCTTCGACCATGAAGGGCTGCGACGGATCAAGGGTACACGCAGGGCATACGACCTTCTTACGCGCCCGCAATACTTCTGTAGGACTACCGAGTTGTTGGGTAAGATAACAAGGATGCTAGAATATGATTGACATACCTCGTGGGCTTGACGTCGATTGTCAACATCTCTCGTGCCCTTTCAGATAATGATAGAGGATCGAGTAATGTCTCATTGCCAAGGAAAGCTGTCAGAATCCATCAGTGCAAGCGCGAAGTAAATAGAAAGTATATACCTTCCATAATACGTTCACCTTGGCTGAGAACACAAGATTTCCACTGGTCGCCGAGTTCTGTAGGGAATAAATCACACCGCCTAGAATTTGAAATGCGAACACAGTCGACTCACCAGTGGCATCTAAAAGGTAAACTGGGAGGAGGGCTGTTGCATGATCTGTACCGTCATTTGCGCTATAGATAGCAGGAAGAAGCTTGTTCCTTAACCACCGTATCTGACGTTTCGCATATTGCCTTGTTCCGTACTTCATTTGCTCCACAGCGGATGCAAAAAGCTTCTCGGAGGGCTCTGGAGAAGTGAGATAATCATGAAACTCTTTATATCCTAGGTATCATAAGTTGGATATTTTTTGCAGAAAACAGTCAACAAAATTCACCAATAGACTGGTAGATGCCAACAGTATAATCAGTCTGTTGCACAGCTGATTTGTCAGATGGCTCTGTGACGACTGCATCAGGCGAACTACTTGTGGAGGAGGAAGCGATCGCCCGGAGTGCTTTGATTTCATCCAATAGCCCTTCCTGAACGAGCCTTTTAGTATGCAGTCAATCAATTAAGACCTTCTTAACCTTGATCATATTATCTACCCTTGCATCCAAGCGCTCATTCAAGATAGAAGGCTCGGCATAGACCCAGAAACACAGTGTTCGGTACCTGTTACTGGTTCGGTGAAAATACTCCACCGCTGATAGGGAAATTCAAACCTTGGAACCAACGCTATTTTAGACTGCTCGAGAATAATTTCGCTTGGGGCCTTCCCAGTGTCTTTAATTACACGAAGGCTTCCCATGACTTTGCGTGTATCTCTCCAATGCCATCGCTGAGCGACTGGTTCGTCGAGCGCAGTAAGAAGTTTGTGCAACAACAATGCATCCTCAGGGTGAGATGCTGCAGATGGGGTCTGCTCTGGAAGAGCATTGAATAGCTCAAGGAGGTCGGGAGGTAAATTGGCAATAGACTGTGCAACGGAATCCGATAAAGATTGCGCTACTGTGGGCAACCGATTCGGAAATATGAGATGTTGGATCCAATAGGATGTACCGCCAACAATAATCGGAATCTTATCCATACGATGCGTCTCGTCAATCTACAATTAAGTTGGGAGCAAAGCGACAGGGGAGATAAATAAAGTATTTACCAACTTAATAGCGTCTTGGAGCCATTGGCCCACTACGTACTGCTCCCCAGGCTGCTTGAAGTCCATGAGAAGGTGCTCGACCCCCATTCTTTCTGCGACTGGGACTTTGTTTGTGATTACGTCCATTCCGGTGTATACTTGCATTGAGTCAGCGTTGATGATCCTCGCGCCTCTCCACCCATGTGTTCCTTGAGCAAGCTTTAGAGCCAACTCAATGGCCAGATTGGACTTTCCGACGCCCGTAGTCCCGCAGATCGTGATTATTGGTTTGAGAGTTGTCATTTCTGAGACAGAAGTAAAATATTTCCACCGTCGAAGGCTGTTATCTACAGCGTGTCAGTTGGATATAAATTATGGAGCCAGCTTACGTGGCAAAGCCCGCTACCATCATTTTTCTAATGTTGTTGGCACGACCACGGAGTTTAGCCAACCGGTCTGGCAAAACTGGTTGTGCCTGATCAACGGCAGAAGTAGCAGAACCTGCAGAACCTGGCAAAGTTCCAGGGTATCCGAGACTCGCATTGATGTAATTAATAACTGATAAGATGGATTGATTTCGTTCTGAATTCGATAGAACATAGAAACCGACGTCCCTGACTCGGTGAGATGGCGCATGCTGGAGGTCCGAGGATGCTTCCTCAAGCGTCTGGAATGAGTTGAGATCAGCTCAATTTGTCACTACTAGAAATGCAAACAATCACCTGTGAACTAGTTGAGATATATTGACAATGAGTTCCCTTACTAGGTGGACTGATGATCTCTACTGTGGTGCGTTTGCTGCAGACAGAACCCTCTCCCGCTTATATTAGGCAGTCGGGAAAAGTAAAAATGGTGTTAGCACTGAGCAGTCCCTTACTAAAATTTGAAGTTCGTTTGGGGAGACAGGAACGACGGGACGGGACGACTTTGCGTCTAACTAATCGTGGGAGTCGAATTTTGAAGTGACAACTCACTACTTAGACTTCTACTTTTAGCGCACATGTCGTCTGTGTTCCGCTCAAAGACGGCTCGAATAACGCTTTCGAATCTTTCGCCAGGACCAAACTCACAGCACGCGGTTGGCATTGTCATCGTTTCTGATGCAACATTTTCTAATACTTTATTTGGCAGCAAAAACGCCTTGGTAGAGGTCAAGGCTCTGGTCGCGGAGGAACGTCCGGACGAGGTCACAAGGGCCAAAAGGCTCGCGCAGGTAATGGCAAACCAAAAGCTGGATTCGAGGGTGGTCAGACACCGATTACGAAGAGGTTCCCAAAGAAGGGCTTTGTAAATCCGTCAGTGCTCTCTTTTAGCTAGTTTCATAACCATCTGACAGGTCCGTCAAGCAACCGGAAGGTGTACGCGCCTGTTAACCTGGACCGGATACAGTTTTGGATTGACCAAGGTCGACTACAATCATCGCCTGAGAACCCCATTACAGCCCGTGAATTGCTGTTGAGCGGATGTATTCATAATGTACACGATGGAATCAAACTTCTGGGCGACGTATGTTTCTACTCTCAGGCATCCTCCTAGTACAACTCATTTTCATTTAGAATGCTCCATGTTTGAAAACGCCTATTCACATTACACCTTCTCGTGCATCTCAAAGTGCCATCAAAGCGGTCGAATCTATTGGAGGAAGTGTGTTCTGCCAATATTACAACCCATTGGCTCTTCGTGATTGTGTCAAGAGCCGTGAAGATCGTATTTCAGCAGCACCAACTCGTCGCACGGACATTCGTGAGCCTCTCCCTCCCTCGACTTTGATTATTTCTGAAAGTCACGTCTTCAAGTGTGGTACACTAACTGGCACAACCGAGGATATCTTTCTCCTGAAGCTATTGCGAAAAACCCAAAAGTGGAGGAGCGATGGAAGGAATTGTCTAAACAGTTACTTTCTTTCAAGGACCAGACTTTCGATACTAAGGGTGTCAAAAAGATGTAGACGTGCTAGGTAGATTATGATACACTCATGGGCTCAATGTTCATCCTATCTGAAGATATACTTCCACTGCGAGAACGAGAGGGACTCCGCGATACGTACCGACCGTTCTCTGATGGAGATCGACTTCTGCTTCTACTAGCGCTGGGGCTCCGTGACCGGTATGGGCTCTTACTGCGGCTCCTACTTCGACTGGAATTACGACTCCTGTCACTACCATGTTCACTCTTGCCCTCCATAGCATCGAGCAAGCGACTTTTCCGAGGGCCAATCTCGCCATTCTCTTCAAGTATCGAACGCTTGGCTATACGGGGAAGAATGATGTCACAGGCTCGTTCTTCAGTGAGAAGCGAATGTACGAATTCGTCAAAATGAATTAGTGAATACCCTGCTGTCAGGCTGTAAGACGTGTACCAACGGAGAAAAAAAAGATCAACACACCTGTGTCGCGGTATCGGAGCTTTCTGTAGTCCTTCATTAATGGTTCAAGAAGCTCATACACCTCCACTGCACTGAAGGTCATTCGTATGTACATGGCGGCTAATGCCCTCATATATCTAAGTACCTGCATCAGCAATCAACGGGCGGCACATGATAATGCTCACTTGAACTCGTCTGCCTGTAGATATTCTATCAATATCTCCTTTTCCGGTTGAAGCTGAAGTAATTTCAGGAGCAAGCACATGAACTCTGTAGGGCGCTGATTGCCATAAACACCCCCAATGCACCTAAGCGCGATTGCTTGGTCGATAAGAGACTCCGCTATATTGAAAAAGGGTGAACCGAATGTCTTAGAAAACGCGGCAGACGCACCAGTCAAAGCGAAGCAATGCTCCTTCCAATAATTTGATTCCCATATTCGATTGCGGATAACAGTCTCGACTAGAAACTATACAATTTTCAGCTAATCATGAAAAAGTGTACCGCAAATATTCGCCTGAGGGTTCTGGCCATGGATTGCAATTGCACCCTTGACGGTGGTGTTGGCCATGATGATGGTCGCTTGTCAAAGTATGTAACGACTTCCTGGTTCACGGAGTCTAACTTGAAGTGCGTTTAGTGCAAAAAAGGAGAAAAACACCTTTAAGAGCCTTTACGTAATGGTCATTTTTGTCAGTTGGATACTTTTTCCTAAGGCTATTCACCTTATGTCTTCCATATGTCTTCCGCGTGCCCAATGATCAATCGGTTACTACTACTATGACACTATCTGCAGGGCTTGGTCTTCGATATTCAAAGATCCGGTGGCCATTGGAAGAATAGCCTCAACGGATAGCCGTATACTTTATTCCGTCCTGGCGGCTGGCCCCACAACACGAGGGACTTTGGTCCCTTGGTGTAATCAGTGATCATAGTGATTCAAATTGTATCATGCTCATTTCCCGCTTAAAACGCCGCGAATAAGGGCAACGCTTATCTAGATGGTGTTGAACCCCCACACAAACATAGCATTGCCGGAATGGTGTTTTACTCTTCAAACTCGTTCTGATCGGATACCGTACCTTTCCTACCGCTTGCCATGTACCAGCAATATAGCGTCTCAAACTCTCCTGTTCGACCGCACCTTCACCCAGGTCCCAATCACTGGTTATTACCAGTTTGTGAATCAGAGTTTTTATCAATTGTGTCACAGCTACCCTCATCTGTACGCCTGTTAATCTCCGTTTATGATTTAGAAGGTCCTGACGACTTAACTTTGCAAGTCACTTCGTGGTTGGCAGGATAGACTCTCCAGCGACAGTGCCATCTTCGTGTATAAATTGACGAATATTTGCAGTCTCCTTTAAATTTTTATATTCCTTGCCTGACTGCAAACATGCGCAACGAACTGCTGACCATCCCCGCAATACCATTTCACAGAGAACCATCATGTTCGATAGTTTTCTCCTACTCGACTGGTGGCGCTGAACCCCCTCTCAATAAATCGGATGAAACAGGGCAAACTCTAAACTAGTCAGTCAATTTTACCCGGTCCGCTACTGTTCTTACAAGTTCTTTTTTAGCGCGAACTTCGAAATTGCCACTGCCCTCATGTCTCCAGCACACTTTCGTCGAATTATAATTGCGCCAGTGTATAATGGTATTTTCTTGTAAGCCGCCCTATCTGACGGCGTCAAATCACTAGGCATGGAAGAACCTGTAATACAAGCTATGCGCGCTGCGATCGTTCTGCTGTGAGTAATCATCGCTTGTATTCACTGTCCCATGACCTACGCTTCCGTTATGATGTAGGAACCCCACAGCCGAAAGGCGTCGCAAGTCGCTCGAGAACAAGCTCTTGCGGATCCTTCCACCCCACGATCATTGCACCCCATTGCTCGACAGGTTATCTCGAGGCCGTCGGCTCATCCAACGTTTCATCTTATGGATATACCAGCCGGTGTGTCGACATTGCTGCCACGAGATCGCTGCGGGTGGTCACAGGCAACTGACCTCTGCAATGATATCGTGTCTGCTAATACCCTCGTCGTTCATATGCGGAAGCATGTTGGAGGATTCTCGCATCGTCGCATTTACTGCTCCTGGAACGGATGTGGCAAGCTCATGAGGAGAGATTGTCTTGTCCGCCACATACGCGAAATTCATCTGCGTAGCAAACGCCGTGCTCATGACTAAACTTTCTCTGTTGCTCGACCTACCCATTTGTGTCTCAAAATCTTCGTCGATATATCGTGTTCACTGAGTAGATAAGGACTTTTAGTAATATTTACCCCGACAGCTGCGCCTCAATATTTGGTCTGTTTCCTAATGGGGTTGTGCGGCCCGTCTCGTAAGCGTCAATAGAACTTCTTTTCCGTGCTTCGAAATTGAAGCGAATAACCTTCAGTTCCGTACCGAGTTGGTTAATGCATTTACCACCAACGGGGCTCAGATCTCAGACCGCTCACGACCGACGAAACACTACACCCACACAATTATCTGTTGCCATGGATGGTTTTAGCGTCTTCACTTTTCATGCCGAACCAATACCATGTGCTCCAGCACCACCTTGGAAATGTTTCAGTCAGCCCGTTAGTGTGCACCGTCATCCATCATTAGCACACACCACCATTTGATTCCCTGGGGCCGAGGCCTGAGCCCTCACTTGATTCATATAAAAGCTTGCGCTTCATGTATTTGTCGGTGTTACTCGCTAAACCCTCAGCTTACCATGCATTCTGCTCATGCAATGGTCTGTGAGGAAGGTACCGGACATGTACAAAATTCTCCTCACATTGCAGTTGAAGTTGGAAGCCCAGTCGTTGCTTTCTACCATGAAATCAAGACAGACATCGAACACGTCACTGTGGAAGATGATCCTTTGAGATGGAGCAATGCCCACAAGGTAGGTGGCAGTCATTCACACTCTGAAAAAAAAGGCTGACTTGTCGGTCATAGACTGCTATTCTAATCATTGTCTCGGCTGGCTCCATGATTGCAGGGTTGGCTGTCAGCATACAGAATCGTATGGCCATTCCTTCCCCAGGTGGTCAGAAGACTGAAACAACTTGCGCCCAGCTGCAAATGCCCAAATTCAGAGTGACTTACAAGCGTCTACATCGGAAATAAGTTGGACATTATCAATTTTTATTCTTGTTCAGGGACTCCCCGGACTTATATGGAGCGCCATTAGCGAAATCAAAGGACGTAAGGTTCGTCGAGCGCTCTGTCTCATAACAATAAACTGCTGATATTCTTCCATCTAAGTTTGTCTATGTGTCATCTGTAGCATTGTTTCTGGTCGCCTCCGCTATGGTTGCATCGTCCAAAACCATTGGTCTGGTGATTGGAATGAGAGCCCTTCAAGCTATCGGGTAAGCAAGTTACATTGACTCTCAGAGCCACTGCTTACAATAATCAGCTCGAGCGCACTCATGTCAATTGCCGCAGCCACACTAGCAGATATCTACGAACCCCATGAGCGAGGCACTAAAATGGGGATATACTATTCTGCTCCTCTCATGGGGCCTGCGTTGGGCCCGATATTGGGTGGCGTGCTGACACAAAGCTTGGGTTGGCGTTCGGTCTTCTGGTTCATCACTATTTGCGCCGGAGTTGTTCTCCTTGCTCTGATTTTCATATTCAAAGATACGTTCAGGAAGGAACGTAGTCTGACGTATCAGAACGTTCTGCAAGTACGGGCAAAGGAAGGGGAGCTACAACACCAACACTTGGACAAATCCAGTCACGCCTTTTCTGTCACGGACAAGCCCGCACAACCTACGCTAGAAGGCATAGCCTCTCCGCAGCAAATAGGGGAGGCGAATAGTCACACCGTTGCACATGCTTCAAGTATGGAAGATGTCGATGTGTCGCTCGCAGATGTCAATCCGTTTCCTCCACTTCGGAAAATTCTTACACGCGTAAATAATCTCGTAATATTGTTTGCTTCCGGTAAGTGTCTTCCGAACCATCATGTGCATCACCCGACGAGCCATATATATGTCTAGGTTTGATATTCGCTTTCAGCTACAGCATTTCATATACCTGTTCGAGAACGTTGTCCGAATACTATGGCTACAACGCTCTCCAGATCGGTCTAGTTCTACTTTCGTCTGGAACGGGTAGGATCTTATTTGTTGGATTGACAATGATTGACTAGCGTCGAAGGCTCTATATGTGGGTCCTTACTTGGCGGCCGCTGGTCTGACCGAACAATTGCTAAGTTGAAGCAAGAGAATGGAGGCAACAGCTACCCCGAGGTTGATAATGTTCCTATGGCTAAGCCTATGCGACAGGCATCCTAATATAACAATTCAGATGCGATTGGCCAGCACCCGACCCGCAATGGGGTTTTTGCCACTGGCTATAATTGGATACGCATGGGTTTGCGAAAAGCACGTTCATATCGCAGCAATCTGCCTTATGCTCTATCTCGCTGGATTCCTCTCGACGTACGCTCATATAAATTTTGCAAGAACTTGACTGACGTGTTTTTTATTTGTTATTTTTCTAGATGGATATACGCAAGCACGCTAGCATACATTGTAGATGCTAACCCCGGCCGTTCGTCAACGATTGTTGCCACAAATAGCGTGTTTCGATGTGTCTTTGCTTTCGTTGCCATCGAAGTGGCTATTCCGATTCAGGTGTGTCCAATCTTATTTAGCTGAACTGTATACAGTTGTTTAAACTTTGTTGTTAGGTTGCCATTGGCGACGGTGGTTTGTACACCATCTGGGGCGGCATTATGGTAATAATGGAAATCCTGACACTGACTGTCTTTTACAAGGGCAAGAAATGGCGCGAGGCATGCGAGGAGAAAGATGGGCGAGAATCACAATAGCCCTGATAAGTACGCTCAAAGTGCTTTTGACACTGCTACTCGAAAACGTTGTATCGAAGACCCGATGTTTATATCTATATAATATTAGGACCGTTTCTTGAGAAATTGCCAATTGAGTCGTACTCGTTTAAGTACTCGAATCAAAATCCGTGACATGCCAGCTTCCGAGTCCCTGACCGCCGGTTGCTCTGCACGTTGCAGATCACGTGAGGTGCCACAACGCTATGCAGCATGGGAGCCGAACGTTGTACACGGTTGCGAACAGATAGACAGTTCGTGTTCTCCACTAATACGTATGCACGTCACAATCTCAAATCAGACACAGGACGATTTACATTGTACCCTCAGAGGCACGGCACAGGAAGACCACGTTCTCCTCGTCCGAGCCCATTCCAAGAGCGTATCATTCTCCCGAAAATGCTCTCTTCTCAAGGTATCTCGACATAAATGGGATAATGCGACGAAGGAACACGAGGCGAGTCCTATAACCCCCGTCTCTGTCACTATGCGTCTCGATGTCGGCGCTGCAGCGAAGTGGAAGCTTGTCAAAGTCCCAGCAGATTCAGAATGGGTGGTGTATCGTCATAAGGTGAGAGAATAGTGCAGAAAATACTGGCCCGCCTGAATCCATATGCTTTCAGTTGTCTCGCAAACATTATTGTTTGCTTATTTTCCCTCGACGCGATACATCCTGTTTCTTGTCTCTCATCCCCGATGCTGTTCCTCTATCATCTTTAACGCTTCCAGGTAAAATTGCTATTCGTGATCTCAGTACTCACCTAACCAAACATATTAGGAACTCATGACACGTATGTCTTGACTTGTATGTGCGAGTGAATGCTGCTATGACGATGATGATAGAATGGCATTTTATGGATGGCCTATCGCCCAATGCCAATCACCAAGCACCTCTCTTGAGAGACAACTTAACGCTGGCATTCGAGTTCTCGACATACGCTTGGCAATCGTTGATTCCCACCTCATTTCATACCATGGAATATACCCGGAACGTACCCTGTTTGCGGAAATCTTATCAACGGTATACACGTTCCTCACAACGCCCTCGACCTCGCGCGAGACCATAGTGATGTCAATCAAGCAGGAGGATTCTGATACGGAACGTTTCAGCAAGCTTGTACACCAAGAGATTGTTACCTCCCCAGGGGGCTTGGGCATGTGGTATTTGGAAAATCGACTACCAACTCTGGGTGAGGTAAGAGGCAAGGTTGTAATGTTCAGCCGTTTCGGCACAGATGGTCACGGCTGGGACAATGCAGCTATTGGAATCCATCCGTCTATCTGGCCTGATAATGACAGGCACGGCTTCACTTGGAACTGTCAGGACGTCCTGGTCCAGACTCACGACTGGTATGTATGGGGATTCTCGGATCGCCTGGCTAATCATGATCTTGACTATCACCACAGGTACACGATCCCCTCCTTCCTTTCTATTCCCGAGAAAGTTGCTCTTTCAACTAATATCCTCGTCGCTTCCTGTGATTCTTCTCCCCCGACCCTATCAATATCCTTTCTTTCTGCATTGTCATTACCATTAGCGTTCCCTCCCATATTCGCTCGCGGCCTCGGATGGCCGCAATGGGGAATTGGATTTGAAGGCGTTAATGCTCGAGTCGGCAAATGGCTCATTGATCAGTTCGACGAACGAGGAGAGAATGATGTAGATACTGGACCGCGGATCAGGGGTTGGGTACTCATGGATTTCTACGAAGACCCGACAGGACAAAGTATTGTCCCGTTACTTGTAGAATGTAATTTCAGAGGGAGAAAGTGCGAGGAAGGTTGGGCGTGAAACGCGGAAGTATAGGACCTCTGCATGACTATATGCCTTGAGATATCATGAAATCTATGATTTACCTCAAATTTACCTCCTAATCACCTCTATACGCTATCGACTAGACAACTTGCAGTGCTCGACTATGGCGGCACCGATAAGCTCTGCTAGGATCATCATGGGCTGGTGGGCGGATTTCACGTTTTCAACGTGTTCACCTCGAGCCAGCTGGCAACCTCGAAGCTGTGCGACTAGCCCTCGGATATGGATAGATTCAACGTTGACATGAACGACGGTAATGATCACGGTGATTCCGAGTCGGTGATCTTCAATACACAACATCGACTTTGTGGTGGTTGGCACTAGTCACTGATCAGACCTTGAACGAAACTATTTGTCGGCAAGCTTAAGCTCAAGCTTGTGATGAGTCTCTAAGTGGTCAGATCATGACTCCCCAAAGCACGGGGACCGAAAAATCATATTTTATGTAACAAATTGCTCGTTGCAGCCTTGCAGGTTCCGGGTCGCCTCGTTGTGCCCTATAGTGCCCACGCCGTCAGGACTCAGATAGCCGATTATGGTCTAGGGTGCAACGTGAGCAGGTGCCAGTGAATCATGGGTCGGGCGGTATGGGTAGCCTGACCCCCAGCTTAGCAGTGTGGCAGTGCTACGTTATCTAATCATAGATTACCGATTATCTTTCTGCCACCCTAGTGTCTCAGATTAATTATGCTGCCTACCGTCTCCAGTGTCCACGTAGCAGCTAGGGACAGGATGGGTAGCAATTGGAAACTACAGCTTCCTGTGACCAAACTCTTCAGGCTTATTGGCTAAATCTGGGCTTACACACCCCGAGACTGGGGTTCTCACTATGTAGACTATCATGTGTATGAAATGATAATTAATGACAATATCGCCTCGTCCTATTCGTCCTCATCATTAATATTAACTTGAACCACCTCAGTTGAACATCTTTTGTTATCTTGTTCGCCCCGATCCAAGTCAAAACCATTTCCCTCCAGCGCTTCGACTTCGACGATGCTCTGAAGATTGATTGTCCGAGTCTTCGGTCCTTTTCAACTCCCCAAGAGCCGCAAATTCAACGGCAATGTCGTCGGGCGCAATACTCTCCGAACCTGCAAGAATGTCACCTGGATCAATTGGAAAGTTTTTCCACCATGCTTTAAGGGCCGTCTGCTCTGCCACCAGCAGGAAGTCGATACCCATCATGCTATTGTCGTAATCACATCTCCGCCGTAGGCAAGGCATAACCGGTTGACAGGGACTTGAGTTTCTGCCGCCCAACGGTGCGACCAATTGAAATTCTGGTGTTAGTGCTAGCTGTGACGTTATGTGTTATGTAAATGCATGGGGCAGCCAAATTCTAAAAGTAAAAATCAGGGCGACAATTGTTGGCGGACTGCAACTTGCAACTTTGGTGTGTAATGATTCGGTTAGGTGAGTGTCAACTAGAGGGTGTATTGTGAAAGTTTAAAAAGGTTTAAATTTGTCTAGAATTCTCAAAATTATAAGTTTAAAAAATATATGCTAAGTGACTTCGAATTTTGCCGATCTGACCTAAAAATACTACCAGCAATAGCCGGAGCCACTTTTCTGTCATTCTGCCAACAACACCTTACGAAGTTTGGATGGCACAACTCATAAATCGTGAGACTTGCACATATCGCGAGTTGTAACACACTGGCCCATCGGTTCCCCGGTGTCCGACTGTGACACCCCCGACTCCTCCTCAGCCAAGGACACGCGCAGTGGTAAACGTACAGCTCTTGTGTTAGAGTCTCCCACCGAAAGACGTCGAACAAAAGCCGAGGCTAGTGTTGTAGGCGGAACTCTCTGCCACGTGGCAGGAACGCCATCTGCCTCGAGTCCGCTGTACGTACATTTATTTAAAGGCTCGCTGAAAGGTGCAGACATGCATAATCCTTCCAACCCCAAATCCCTCGCTCGAACATCAACAATCCTTCCAGAGCAGTCAATTATGGTTGCACCCTCCAATTCTTCAGCTGTGGCAGTTTATTGTGCTGCATCACTCGGGAAGCAGAATGCTTTTCAGCTAGCTGCGCTATGTATGTCTTCTTCATTCAATCTCGCGACTGCTCTCACGTGTTTTGCGTCGTATTTTTAACAGCATTGGGCCATGCTCTGGCAGAGGCAAAACGACCCCTTGTCTATGGTGGTGGTAACATGGGTCTTATGGGCGTTGTCTCAGGTGCCGTAATAGAAGAGGGCGGTCAAGTTACTGGCATTATCCCATATGCCATCCAAGCTGCAGGTGGCGAAAAAGACAAGGGCAATGGTGTTGTAAAGACTGAATCTGTTGCTGGAGTTCTCAATGAGGACCGGCGAAGACATGTACGCGATTCCGTCAATGATGTCGACACAGAACTGACTCATCAACGCGCACACTTTCCATAGATCGAAACTGTAAGTAATAATTTGCACGCCCATACCACATTGTTTAATTGATTTCCGTTCCTCTTCATTTCCATCTTTGTAATTCGTTTTTACATTAAGATCGTTGTTGACTCGATGCACGAGCGCAAGATCGAGATGGCGAAGCGTGCCGGTGCTTTTGTGGGGTTGCCAGGAGGATACGGCACTTTTGAAGAGGTACACGAGGCTCGTTCGCTCAACGTAATTCACACTTACCCTATCGTGCCCCTAGATTCTTGAAGTGATAGCTTGGAACCAAATCAACATTCACAACAAACGTAAACATATTTCATTGCTTCAGTATCATTATGTTGGCCAACCAAGACCATATTTTGCAGCCGTAATATTGCTCAATGTTCTGTCCTACTACAGTCCTCTCCGTGATCTCATCCGGAATGGTGTACGGGAGGGGTTCATCCAGCCGCACAACGAGAAACTATGTGTCTTCGTCGACGGACCTAAAGACCATAAAGACCATGAATCTTTCAACTGGGGGCAGGCCGCTATAGATGCAATTGCTGCATGGCAATATGACCAAATACGGTCATTACCCTTCCATTGGACGAAGGACACTGATACCAGTGCAAAACCTAATGGCAAATCCGACATCAAAGGCATGAGCGGAGTTGTTAGTGGATTATACGGGCTAAAAATGACCAACGCGTGGTTGAAGAGGGTCTGGCACGCTTGCTTCCGTTCATGTTGATCATGGCATAGGTTAGCAGACTCGCACCTATTCGTTATCATATTTACCACCCATTATATCTTCTAGGACTCCAGCATACATTCTTTACATTGAGATTCACTTTCTTGTAGAACAAGTATCACTGACTAAGGTAGTTCCGAGACAAGCCGTCTGTGATCGCTTGC